TAAAATTAAATTTTTTTTAAAAATTCATCTGGCTAGACTTTGGTAAAAAGAGAAGGCACTTGGCACTTCTGTAATTTTTAAGGCTTTGTAAATACTTCCCTAAAATATTCTACACTAGTTCATAAAAGAAACTTACCTTTTAAACTCTACAAATACCCCTCCTAGAAATTTATCCTTGGAAAATATTTCAAAGAAAATTGTATTATACAGGTAGTTCCCATCTGAAGGTAGTCATTCCAATAACTGTGTTGTAAGTTGGTTCTTATATGATTTGAATTCTTCCTTTCTCATTTTTTGTGATTGCTATCTTTTATCTTACTGGTTTGCATACAATCATTTATATATACTGTTTTTTATTCAGAGACACTTTTCTATAATTACTACTGATCTATGCCTTTTATCACCTCATCAAGTCCCCTTATTTTCATTATTATTATTTTTCATTAACTGTATCTTTGTAAATCTTAACTTTATTTCTCTTTGAGTTAGAAACATTACATGTACTCAAGCGATAATAGCAAAGTTCAACAGGGCAGGAAAAAACACATTCAGGCGAGACACAGGTGGAGATATTTGGATCTCTTCATTGCTGGTGGGAATATGAAATGGTACAACCACCACGGAAGTCGTTTGACCTAGCAATTCCACTACTGGGAAGACACCCTAAAGAAACCTGAGCCATAACACAAACAGATATATGCACGCCCATGTTTCTGCATTATTCACAACAGCAAAGAGATGGAAGCAACCCAACTGTCCATCAAAAATGAATGAACGGAAAAACTATGGTACATTCACACAACAGAGCATTACACAACATTGAAAAACAATAAGCTTATAAAACACTACACAATATGGGTACACCTAGGAGACAATGCTGAATGAAATGTCTCAGCCACAAAAAGATAAACACTGCATAATACCACTGTTGTAAAATAGAACTAATATGACAGGGTTGGGGGAGAATAGGAAAAGAGTGGATAGATAATGAACTATATGCATTGGAACAGAGGAGGGGAATATCTTTCTGAAAGGATTATATGATTAGTCATTATGTGGATGACAATAATCTGGAACAAGAGAATGAGAGATTTATTGGAAGCAGACTGGGGGGAAAAGAAAAATGTACAACAATGAATGAATGAATGAATGAACACGGTAAACTTCCATCAACATCACAATAAAATCTTTTAATAAAGAGAAAAAGAAAATTCAAACATTGAATCTTACGCACCATCCTATAAGCATCAGTGGGATTCCCTTAACAATGCTAATTTGCATGTTACTTGGTTGGTGACAGAGATCAGTACTAGGGACAGCAGAGCTTGTCACACAGGGGTTAGAGAAGGCTCTTGGCCTCTCTGTACCATAGATTGCTCAGTTGGATAAACAGATCTTAATACTCAATTTTCAGAATTTGTGTCTTATACTTATCTGACATTATATATTTGTTTATGAACAGAAACAATTTTTGCCCCAGGTCTCTATCACCTCTTTTACTTACAACTTATGTAAAAATTGCATTCCATGCCAGGCCTGAAACATTCCAAAGGTGATTTCAGTGATTAAGTTGCATCCTAGATTTCTAAAAAATCAAAATAGAAAAGATACACTGTTTTGACAACAACCATAATTTGCTATCATGCAAAATAATTTCAGTACTTACTACCTACACAATAAGGAAATCTCGTGGAAGATACTTGGTTCTCATATAGATTCTTATATTTGGACCTGTGGTGCATACTGCGTAAAACAGTAAAGAAATGCTTGGATTGAATAATCTTCATTCTAGAACAAGGTTTCTCATGCACAGTACTGGTGTCATTTGGGACTGGGAAAATTTCGGTTGCCCTGATCATAAAGACACTGCAGGGCTGGCAACGCTCTGTTCTGTTGTACATGTATATGAGGTCACATGAATCACAGCCAACTCAACAGGAGCTAATAATAACACATTTGTTGGTGTGAGGACTGTTCTGTGCGCTGCAGGATGCAGAGAAGCATCCTTGGCATCTTCCACTAAGATGCCAACAGCACAATCACAATTATAATAATAAAAAATGTCTCCAGATGTTGCAGAATGTCTGCTGGGTTCAAAACTATCCTGATTGAGAACCACTGCTCTGTCACGCTAATCATTACTAGAGATACAAAGGATTTGCTACATACATTTAGAATTTTTCCATTGACATGAGCTTAATATTTCAAAATAAACAGCAGAGAGGTTTGCAATGAGTTTTTATAAAAATTCTAAATATAATTCATTTATAATGGTTTGTGACTTACACATACTGCAAAAAAGGCAATGCTTCAAATGTACCCCTTTCAATATACTGTATTTTATTGCACGACAAATCTCTGCAAAAAGTAAAGGAAGACAGCACTTCAGTTAGCTATTATATATCAAATTGGTAGGAATACATGGTAGTGTTCAAAATAATATTGAATAAGTGTATGGCTAACCTTTGTCTAAACTTTCCAAGGTCCCTATCCAGCCCTTGTCTCTCTTAAGCATTTACCTTCATAGTATAAACAACTATGGATCTTGATAGATTTTAGAGGCACTTTCTTCACAATGAAAAAATTGATTAGACAACCTTTTATGGTTGCATCAAAAGTTAGGTACAATGAGTTGGAAGCTCTTATTACTCAGTAGAACTGTAATTAATAACATTGAAAGGAATAGTCTAACATTTTTACACCTTTCTGATTGACTTTTCTTCTTGGCCAGCTCAAAACCAGAAGAAGCAAAGGATATTCCATATAAAACTATTAATTAATTTAGGAAAATACATTTATTATATTAATAGAAATTCAAGTTTGTTGGTTTTATATTCCCTTAAAGTTCTATGAATACCTAGAACAGATTTCAGTGATTGCACAGGAGAAAAGATAAAAGTGGATTTTTCTTTAAAAACACTGATTCCTTGACTACAATCAATCCTGTGTTTCCATTTACCCCACAACAGTCCTTCCCTTTTCACCTGGTTGAATTTAATTGTCTTCTGCTTGGTGATTTCAGTGTTGTTTTCCCCTCGTTAATCTTTGCTGCACAATCACCTTGGGCAGAATCACTCTTCAACAGTCATTCACAAATCAGTATTGCCAGAGAATTTATTGAAGATGCAAATTCTTAGGCCTACTCGATCTAGGGAGCAGTGGTGGCCTACTGGCAAGAAGCTGTGCTGCAGTCCTGAAGGCATGCAGTTCAAAAACACCGTTCACCAGGAGAATAGGCAATCTCCTCCCTTGCCAGTAACTAACTGCCTCTGGAAACCTGCCTCAGGGTCAGCTCTGGATCAGTTCTGACTCAACAGTACACAGCAGCTCTAGATCTACTGAACTAGTACATATGGGGAGGAAGCCCAGAACTGTGCTTTAGCAAGCCCTGATTCTGATACAGGTGGAAGTTTGAAAGCCACTTGTCTTAGAGCATTGTTGCGATAACATGGTTTCACCAAGATGGGACCTTAGTTTCACATTCAATTGAAGCCCATGGCTTCAATTCAAAGAGCTGGCTTCAATCTTTTTCTCTCCCTACTGTACCCAAAGGTACTCATGGAATTCTTCAAACCCACCTTTCACTGTCTGTATTTGCCTTTACCCTCCTCTTACAAGCTTGGATTTTTCTTCCCAAGTTGGTTGAGTGAATATACTAAATGGCCCTTCAAAGTTCTGTTCAAATAGCATTATTAACTTCTACCCTGATCCAAATGCAAGTTTTTGCTCTGTCCTCTAGAACCACTTTATATCTCTCGGTGCTCATATTTATTTCTTCTTTCCAATGTTGTTGTTCTTGTTATGTGCCTTTGAGTTGCTTGCGACTCATAGCGACCCTATATGTACAACAGCCCTAAACTATGCTCTGTCCTGTGCCAATCGCACTGTCTCTGACACACCCATCCTGATTACCCCAGTCACTGAATCAACATAGAGGGCCTTCCCCTCCTGCGCTGTCTCTCCACCCTCCCAAGCATGATGTCCTTCTCCAAGGACCAGTCTCTCCTTACAACATGTCCAAAGTATGTTAGACGGAGCCTCAGAATCCTTGCCTCCAAGGAGCCTCCTGGTTTAACCCTTTCCAGAATGAATCTGTTTGTTTTCCTAGCAGTCCATCCTCAATACTCTTCTCCAGCACCACAGCTCAAAGGCATCAATTCCATTACCTCTCAGCATAAATTCTTTGAAAGCATAGACTATTTCTCATTCATTTGCATAGCCTATGATAAATAACAGTACAGTAACTTTGTAAAATCAAAGCCTTCCATGTGGATTGTACCTCAACATCAAGAAGACAAAAATTCTGATCACTAAACCATAAGGCAACATGATAGATGGAGGAAGATTGAAATTGTCAATGATTTCATCTTACTTGGATCCACAACACCCTTAATACCAGCAACCAGCAGCCAAGAGAGCAGGAGACGTGATAGTGCATTGCACAAGTCTGCTGTCAAGACCACTCCAAATTACTGAGGAGCAATGATGTTATTTTGAACATTAAAGTGTACCAGATTCAAACCATGGACTCTCCCATGTGTACCTGATTCAAAACATGGATTCTTCCATCTACTTGCTATGCATCTGAGAGCTGGAGAGTGAATAACAATGAAAGAGGAAGAACTGATGACCTTGACCTGTGATGTTACAGTTAGAGTACTAAATATCTCATGGACTACTAAAATAACAAACAGATATGTCTTGGAGAAAGTGTAGCCAGAATGCTCCTGGAAGGCAAAGATAACAAAGCTTCATCTCACATACTTTGGACATGTTTCTAGGAGAGGCTAGTCCTTGAAGAAGGATACTCTGCTTGGTAAAGGGGAGAAGCCCCTCAGTGAAAGAGATTGAGGTGGTGCCTGCAGCAACGGGCTCATGTGTGTCAAAGATGATGAGGATGGACGAAGATAGGACAGGAAGGCTTCAGATCTCTTGTTCTCAGTGTCTGTGTGAGTCATACTTGACAGCATCCAACAACAACCACAATGTGATAACTGAAGGTAGCTCTGGTGGCCTAGTGAGTAGAGTTGCACTGCAAACAAAAAGCTGATGGCTTTCTGGCAGATTGAATCTACCAGCAGCTCCACAGAATAAAGACAGTAGTCTCTTCTACTATGATTTCCAGCCTCTGAAAAATCCAGTGGAACGTCAGCTATGAATTGGTTCCAACTTCATGGCAATGAGTTGAGTTCGACGGTGATTAAAACTGACAGATGAACATAAAGCAAACTGTCTATTAAAGGAATAAATAGCTAAGGAGTGAGAAAAGATTTTTTTAAATAAAATGTCATTTTATTACATCTTGGTTTTTCTGTGCTTCCGCAGCACTTCCTGTATTCATACTTCTGTGTCATAGTTTGTGCTATGTATTTGTTACCCTGTCATATCAAGTATTCGTGGAAGAGTAGGGGCCCTGTCCTATACATCTTTGTATTGCAACTCTTGGCACAGTGGTTGGCGTACTGTTTTAAAATTTTTAGGGGATTAGTTTTATTTTAAGTGAATGAGAAGACTTATTAATATGGAATTACTAGATTATAGAGTATTAAAAATCTAGGTAATGAAAGGCCTACTCTATTGCTGTTGTTATTTGCTGGCAAGTCTGAGCCTAATAGCTGACCCTCTACTGGGTTTTTTTAGAAGCATTCAATCACATGAGCAGCTGACAGATTTGAACCCTCTGCCTTTTGGTTGCAGCACAGTTTTTTACCATGTGGCCTGCACAGCCTCGTAGCATACATTTCTCTGCAAATCATATTTGTACAGTTTAGGAATCCACATGACAGAGAAGCAAGAGCAGATTAATACAAAAGTGGTTGTTTCCCTGAGACATGAATGGTTTGATAATTTCAAGAACTATTTTTCTGTAATAGTTGCAAGCATCCACTAACAATTGGAATGTGGAGTGTATGAATCATGACTGTGGGGAAAACTGGACATCGTAAAAAAAATGAAATGGAATGTATAAAGATTGACAAGCGGGGGTGCACTAACACTGGCCACTTTGAGTCAATCATATGATTTCCTATTCTAGGAAAGAAGAACTCCGGAAGGATAGGGTTGCATTTATAGTTAAAAAAGACCATTTCAGGATCTATCCAAAAGTACACTGCTCTGAATGACAGGATACTATGCAGGAGCCTACAAGGAAGACCTTTTAATACCACTTATTAGTCAAATATGTACACTAAAAGCAAAAGCCAGAGAGCAGGAGATGGAGGATTTCTACCAAGTTTTGCTATCTGAAATTGACCACAAATGCAACCAAGATGCATTAATGATAATTGGTGACTGGGTTGCAAAAGTTGTAAATAGGAAAGAAGGAATGGTAGTTGGAAACTACAGACTTGCTGACAGAAATGAGGATGGATTATGAATGCATAAATTTTGTACATTAAATTATTTATTCATTGCAGTTAAAAAGCAATAAGCAATGGCTGTACATATGGACCCTTATAAATGAACTGCATAGAATTCAACTTTACTACATCTGTAGAAAGAATCACTGGAGAAGTTCAATATCCTCCATCAAAACCAGGGCAAGTGTTGATTTGGAACAGAACATCAGATACTCCTGTACAAATTCAAACTGACACTGAAGAAGATTAAAACAAGTCCTCAAGAACAAAATTACTACCTTGTGTTTTTCCTACTTAAATTTAAAAATCATTTTTATGGGAAGCCAAACTTTATACCAAATATTATATGAAAACCCTTGTTCAGGAATTGAAGGAATTACAGATTTATAAGTTATGATTTCTCTTGTGGCAGATCCCAGAAAATGAGCTGTTTGTTCCCTGCAGACAGGAGACAGCAAGGGGCCCCCTACAGAGGGAGTGTTACTTCCTGAGCTAGGGCTGACCCTGAAGCATCAAGGTAATCCTTAAGAGTATACCAAATTCTTGCATTTGTGAACCCCTCCCTCTTGAGTCAAGAAGAAGGTTTTCAATAGAAAGAGCTTGGCTTCATTTGCATTGAATTCTTTTTTTTATTTACTTCCTGATAATTTTCAATAAAGACACAGAGAAGCTTGGATCTTCAGTTGAGAACTGCTGGCCCTCTGTTTTATGCTCTCTGCTCTATCTCATTCCTGGCTGTTTGTCTCATTACAAATAATTATAAAATTATTCCATCATTTGGGACCCTTGGTCTGCAACAATTTTAGGAACAGGCTTGAGGCACTTAACACTAATGAATGAAGACTAGATGAGCTGTGGGGATGACATCAAGAATATCATCCATAAAGAGAGAAAAAGAGGAGAAAGAAAGGCAAAAAATGCAATGTCAGATGACAGTAAAAATTGCATTAATGAGTCAAGAAATCAAAGCAAAGGGAAGAGATGCATAAGTGAGAGAAATGAGTATCAGCTTTCAAAAGGCAGCTTGAGAGCACAAAACATAATTTTTGAACAGAATGTACAAAATCTGGAGTTAGAAAATAAAAAGGGAAGAATGCCTTGTTATTTCACAAGCTCAGAGAACTGAAAAACAAATTGAAGCCTCAAATTATAATACTGAGAGATTCTATAGGCAAAAATCATGAATGATCCAAGAAGTATAAAAAGAAGATGGAGGGAATACACAGTCAGTGTACCAAAATGAAGTGGTTGACAATGAAATGTTTCAGGAAATAGCATATGACCAAGAACCAGTAGTAACAGAGGAAGAAGTTCAAGCTGCACTGAGGCATTGACAAAAAACAAGGCCCCAGGGCTTGATAGAATACCAACTGACATGTTTCAACTAACAAATGAAGCCCTGGACATGCTCACCCCTCTATGGTAAGATATTTGGAAGACAGCTACCTGGTCAACTGACTGGAAGAGATTCGTATTTGTTCCCATTCCTGAAAAAGATGATGACCAGAATGTAGAAATGATGAAAAAAATCCTTGATGTTACAGGCAAATAAAATATTGCTGAAGATCATGCTAAAACAGTATGCTGACAGAGACCTGTCAGAAGTTCAAGATGGCTTTTGAAGAGGCCAAGGTATGCGAGATATCAATGCTGATGTCAGCTGGACCTTGGCAGAAAACACAGAATTCCAGACGAATGTCTATTTGTGATTTACTGACTATGCAAATACATTTGGGATGTGAATCATGACAAACTATGATTAACCTTGAGAAAAAAGAGAATCCCAGACGTTTAATCATGTTCAAATGAAGCTGATAGCTAGGCCAAGAAGCTCTTGTCTGAACAGAGGAAGGGAACTCTGCATGGTTTAAAATCAAGAAGGATGTGCATCAGGACTGTGCCCTTTGTCCAAACTATTCAAGCTGTATGATGAGCAAATCATTTGAGACGCTGGACTCTATGAAGAAAAATGTGGTGTGAGTTTGTGTCAACAACCTGCGGTATGCAGGTGACTCACCCTCATTTGCTGAAAGTGAGGAGGACTTGAAGCTAAAAGATCAAAGATTCTAGCTTTCAATATTGATGATACCTCAATATCAAGAAGGTTCAAATCCTTACCACTGGTGAGCTCTGGTGGCCTAGTGGCAAGAAGCTGCACTAATAGCAAGAAGCTGCATTGCAATCCCAGAATTGTACACTTCAAATCCCCAGATGCTCTGTTGAGAAGAAGGGACAATTTCCTCCTGTACCAGTCAGATCCAATTTGATGGATCCAATTCAGCAAGAAAACTACTGGATATAGTTGACCAATTCAGCAAAGTGGCAGGATACAAGATCAACGGACAAATATCAATTAGATTTCTCTACAGTGAAAAGAGAATATAGAACTAGAGCTAAGAAAAACAATACCCATCACAATAGCTAATCACAAGATTAAGTACTTGGGAGTAAACTAACTAGAAATACAAAAGACTTATTAAAAAAAAATTACAAAACATTACTGCAAGGGAGCTCTGGTGGCCTAGTGGCAAGAAGCTGCATTGCAATCCCAAAGGTACATGGCTCAAATCCACCAGCTTCTCTGCTGGAAGAGGGGAGGCAAACTCCTCCTGTACCAGTCAGATCTGATTTGACGGTACACACAAAAAAGATAATATTTAAAAAAAAAAATTAAAGAAACCAACAGCACACATTACTAAAAGAAACTAAAAGAGACCTAGAGAAATGAAAAAATATAAATTGCTCATGGGTAGGAGACTCAATATTGTGAAAATGACAATCCTACCAAAGGCAATCTACACATTCAATGCAATCCCAATAAAAATACCAATTCCATTCTTCAACAAGATGGAAAAGGCAATCTCCAATTTCATTTGGAATGGAAGAGACCTCAAATAAGTAGAACACTCCTTAAAAAGAAAAACAAGGTAAGAGGCATTTCACTCCCTGATTTCAAATCCTACTATACTGTCATGGTGGTCAAGACAGCATGGTACTGGTACAATGACAGACACATAGATAAATGGAATAGAATTGATAACCCAGAACTTACCCCATCTACCTGTGAACAACTAATTTTTGACAAGGAGATAAAATCAGGTAAGTGGGGAAATGATAGCCTTTTTAACAAGTAGTGTTGGCAAAATTAGAAAACCATCTGAACAAGACCCACACCTCATACCATACACAAAAACCAACTCAACGTGGATCAAGGACCTAGGAATAAAACCAAGGACTATAAACTTCAATAGAGAAAAGCTTGGAAGAACCCTAGAAGCAACAGTGAATGAATGGAAATCCAAGTTCTTTATAACCTTGCATTAAAATAAAAAAAAAACAAAAACACCCTACCCCTAAAAAAAAAAAAAAATCAAAAGACATATGTTGTTATAGTTTTCCACTCAGTCACAACCGACCCATAGCTGAGCCTCTCGTGAGCCTCAAACCATATGCCTTCAGGATTGAACCACAGCTTCTTGCTACTAAGCTACCAGAGCATTGAAAAGTTTGATGGCAGGGACCTCTGCAAACTACTGCAAAGCTATCATGTCAGTTTAAAGACTAAAGTGTGCCTGATTCAAGCCACTGTCTTTTTAATCACTTGCTGTGTATCTGAGAGCTGGACAGTTAGAAAGGATGACAGAAGAAGAATTGATGCCATCTAGTTATGGTCTTGGAAAAGAGGACTGAAGATTCCGTGGACTGCCAAAAGAACAGAGAGATAAGTCTTGGAGAAGGTTTAGTCAGAGTACTTCTTAGAGGAAAGTTGGTGAAGCTTCATCTCCCATATTAAGTTGTATTAGTACAAAGTTTTGTTCTTTGAAAACAACAAACCAGGAAAGGTGAAAGGTCAGAAAAGGAAGAGAAGACCCTCAATGAGATGGAGTCACACAGTGACTGCAGCAATGGGTTCAAGTATGTCAGAGATGATGAGGTTGGAACAGGATAGGACAGGGTTCAGATGTATTGTTCAAAGGGTCACTGAGTCATATTCGATGACACATAACAAGTACTTTCCCTAAGCCTTTGACACTTATAAGAGTAACACCTTTGCTAAAAAGCATCATGTATAGTTTAATGAGGATTAATAATGCACATAGACCTAGACTTCATGGGTAAAGGATAAAAATCAAGCCTTTATAAAGGTAAAGGATTTGCTATATCATCTCTTAATGTGCATAGATACTATGGATATTTTAGTCCTTCCTTAGCAAATGGACTTTGGGAAGATTTTCTTTTGCATTTAACAAAGGCAGAGATTGTGAGGATGGCACAAGACTGGGCCTATTTCATTGTGTGCTACGTAGAATAATGATGAGTTGTAACTAATTATATGACACTTAATAACATTTAGCCAAGAGCTGGGACATTTCTGATATGATCAAATAGTATAAACATTCTGGCTATACTATTTAAGCATCACTTTAAACTTTTAGTTGTCATAGAGCAAAAATATTCTTTTACTGAAATTCTTAACACCAGTCTCTTTTCTTTCTTTATGATACTGTTTAATCAGTCCATCTGCTGAATTAAATATTTAAATGCTAACTTAATTATCAAAACATTTTCATCTAATTGCATTCAAATCCATACAATTCTAAATTGTGTGTCCTTTAGACAATAGCCAATGGTTAACTTTAATTCCAGCCTCACATACTTCAGGCATATTGGCAGGGGGGTCTATTCCTTGGAGAGGGACATGATGCTTGGAAGAGTGGAGGGTCGTGAAAGGAGAGGAAGATCCTCAAGTAGGTGGACTGACACGTGGCTGCAGCAGTGGGCTTAGTGTGTCAGGAAGAGTGAGGATGGCACAGGATAGGACCGGGTTCAGAGCTGCTGATCATAGGGTTGCTATGAGTTGCACTCAACTCAACAGCACTTAACAAAAACAACAACGACTTTAATTCCTACTTGGTTAATAAATCAACTTCTTCAACAGTTTTCTATAAAGTACTAGTAAATAGGGTTTGTCTGCCACAGACAGCTTCTGCTGCATATTCTTCTCTTCTTAAAGGCAAAAATTATTCTCAGTGCTTGAATGCTATACAAATGCACTATGTGCTGTAGACAAAATAAAAACAGAGTATATAGCCCATTAGAAAGTTTCTATGAATGTCGATAGTTACTAAGACCCTATTTCTATCTGGTCTATTTATATCTTGGGTCTATAATAAAATTTGGAAATTCATAGGAATAAGCCTATGCTTAGAGATAGGACAGGATTCCACAGAGTTACATCATTCTTATTACCTAATTCAGGGCTTCATTCATTTTATATATAACCAAAAGCTCAGATATAAATATAATTATCTAACTGACTTACAAATATTGAAGAGAGAGCAGTCCTTCAAATGAGTCCTTGTGCAATTCAGTCAGGGAATTGTCACTGAGAATTCTGAAAAACAAAAAATATATTTGTGAATCAAAGTACAAACTAACTACAACTGTTTTCCCTATAAAGCTACTATGCATGACAAGAACTTCCACAATGGTGCCACCTGGATGGTCTGTTTTGTATTTAATTTAGAGATGGTGGCTTCTCTGCTTTCATCCAAAACTTTCTTCTCATGTCCTCCTTCTGCTGGTCCTGCTTCCACCCCCACCCCACAAAGCCCTAACCCTCTCTCACCAGTTTATTTCACGCTTACTCTTAAGATCACAGAGGCCCTGTTAGAACAAAATTCTGCATGGTCCTTTGGTCGGCAGAACTAACATTTCGTGTCCCCTTCTCTTTCCCCAAACCTCACTGTGGAAGCCTCATGTGGAACTACATCAGGGCTGCAAGTGAAAATATTTGATGATTTCCCTGATTCAGCACATTTTTCCTTTGAGAACTAAAATGCACAGAAAGCATAAATGCTCAGTTCTAGAACCATAAAACAACAGCATGCATCACTATTCAAGTTAAGAAAGAACAAGGCAGCATCCCAGAAGCATTTATTTTTACTTTTTTCAATCACGACCCTTTTTCTGACCCCCACAACTATCCCAACTTTCAAAAGAGGTTCCTTGATTTTTAAATATGGTTAAACCTATTCTAGAGGCTTCCAGGCAGCCAAAGACGACCCAGAGCCTTCCCATACCAACACAGAAAGATTGCACCACTAAAGCCACACGAATTTTAGAAGGTCGCAGGCCCATGCTTCAGGCTCTCATTGTCAGAGTAAGAGGCTTCCGGCCAGCCAAAGACGACCCAGAGCCCAACTAGGAGAAGCAACTGAACTCTCTGTAAGATGGGCTCTCTTGTTTTGGTTGAGGGTCATTGTGGAATATTGGGGGTTTTGTTGCTTTTTAAAAAATTATTATTAAAGCCTCTTGTTTAGAGTCAACAAAACCTTCTAAAGGGCCCTTATACTTAATAAATCAGCTCTTAGGAATTATCTTTTAATCCTTTGCTACTATATTTTGGAGGAACATTCTTCTAAGTTACACAGCACTCTTCCGTCAATTTGCTGTGTGAGTTAATCTGGGTTGGCCATGATGCTGAACTTTGTACCATTGGGGTCTCTGATGCCACAATGGCTAGGCATGGTGGACAGTGTTTGGTGAAGCTCCCAGTCTTAAGAAAGGTTCAGAAGAAGAAGTGGCATCCACTATCTAAACCACATGTTTCTGAAAACTCTATCAACTTGGAGAAATGATAGGTATAGAAAAGCCTCTGGTCTTTTGTTCTTGGAGTCACTATGCGTTGTGCACGACTTCACGGCAATCAACAACAACAACATGAGCCTATTCTGTGTCAATCATAAACAACATGATTTAATATGATTTGATTATATGACATTTTCCACAAACACAATGGGCTACACATTTAAAATTAATTAAGAGCTTACGAAATTACAAAAAAATAGACTCCACTAATGGGCTTTAAATAATAAAAACTCTATAAGCATTTTTCCTGAAAGAGATAAATAGCAAGAGAAAAAGAGTGTCAACATACAGTTGTATGTGGAACCTGAAGGGTCCTCATGAACTGCCATGTGGAGATGGACTCCCACCAGGTCAAGGCCGTGGCCGCTGCACACCTCAGATGTGTTATTTGTTAAAATTTCAGGGTGTAAATAATCAAATGTGGCAACAAGTGTAAATTGGATCTTAAGTATTTAAAAACAAAGACACCAAATGAAATTTTTCAAATTACCAAGGAGTTGCAATAAATGGAGGGTTATAGAAGATATCTTTCTGTATTCCTATATTGGGAGGTTGTACTCACAGTTTCTCAGTCCAATGGTAGGCCTTCCAAACATTCTTATCAATGTAAGAAATATCATTGCCTTGGAGATTTCTGTGAAGAGAAGAAAAATGGTTCATATTTTTTAATATATAGGATTAAGAATTAACCAACTAAGTGTAAAAAAATCAGGAGAAATTTATGGAGAATTTTCAAATGCAAAAAGTATCAGATTTCTAATTTCCACAGCTATGAGCTGCCAAACTGACCCAATTAATGAAGACAGCCTGTGAGGGCAGTGGCACAAATGATGAGGTCATCTCCTCAGGAATTGAACTTCCTATCTTTCCAATTCCTTCTCTCTTATCACTATCAGCAAATATGAACAGAGAAAACAGATGCCAGGCAACACCATAGTTTTGAACAAAGTTATCTACTGAAATCATCCCAGGTTTAGAAGGACAATTAGAAATTCAAGGCACTTTCCTAGGTGGAAAGAGTTCACTGACACATTACTTAATGGAAAAAATGCAAGAAACTGAGCAAGAAGGTAACTCAGCTCATTAAGAAGAAAGTACTGATGTACATGTATATAAATTAAAGAGGAAGAGATTGGAAGGAGGGATATATAGATTACAATGGTGTCAGGAGCTGCATGACCAGAAAAAGGAAGGTGAAAATGGAAGGGTGGGACAAACTTAACCATTTTATCCCAAATACTTCTGTGATACCTTTCTTAAAAGTCATACACTGTGGAGCTGGATCCTCAAGTGCCATGTGTTTGCAATATGTTACACTTTTGAGGTTCAATACCAGTTGCTAACTCTGCTTACAATTTTGATTTTTTTGACTGACACAATGGTCTCTATTATGTCAGGAAGTGTGAGAATGGCACAAGATGGGACAGGATTCAGATATGTTGGTCATAGAGTTACTATGGGTCATATTCAACTTTACAGCACATAACAACCATTACTCCGTCCCCTTACCTCAGCAACATCTTATCTATTCAGTTTATACCATCAAATAGGAAATATTTTAAATGAGGTTAAAACACTCACTTTGCCTGGCCACCTGCCTAGCTGATGTTTCTACTCAGCCATGTCTTCCCGTCGCTTTATGCTCAGCAAAACAAGATATCTGTATCTCATCCAACCTCCTCAAACGGCTCTCCTTCCTGACTGTTGAGTTTCCGTCTGTGTGTTCTACCTCCATCATTCTCCTAATCATCCAGGGCACAGACTCTGGAGTCATGACTGGGTTCTCCTAGTTCTTGCACACTCCTTCCGCATCTCTCTAGTCGACACCACAGCCTGTCCTCCTCTCTGTGCAGTGCTTCCAGGATTCTCCTGCTCTTCCCATCCCGACCACTCTGCTTCAGCCACTTTTCACTTTCTTCCTCCTAGTTTTGCTAGAGCTTTCTATCTGGTCTCCCCAAATCAAGCTTTCCTCTTAGGTGGCTTTACACATACATTCTAAAAGAACACTCCTGTTTGAATTAGTTATCTTTCTTGCTTGAGAAGGTTCAATGGCTCTTCCTATCTCCTGGTGTAACTTGAAAACATCTATTGCTGAATTTTAAGGCCTTTTACAACTTACTTTCATTGTTTCCTATTGCAATTCCTTGAAGCCAGACTCGTCTACTAAATCTAACCATTCCTACAGCCACACCATTGCCCAGGCTCTACTGTCTATACTTTAATTTAGCAAATCTTAGTAATTTTTTATTTTACCTTTGGTGTCTTACTGCTAAGAATTACACTGCCAGCCTAAATGAATGTGGTTCGAATCCGTCAGCTACAGTGAGGGAGAAAGATGGGAAATCTCCTCCTGTGTCATTTGCTGCCTCTGAGTTGGTCTTGAATGTAGGGTACATAAAAAGACCACAACAACAACTCACTCTTTTAGGGAGCACTGATGGGCAAGTCCTTAACGAGCTGCATAGCTAACCCAAAGCCACACCTGTCTGATAGTTCAAATCTACCGGCGGCTCTGAGGGAGAAAGATGAGCAATCTCTTCCTGTGCAATTTACCGGCGCAGAAGTTGCATGGATGGAGGGTCAGTTGCATGGAATGGATTGGTTCCAAATTTAAAGCAATGAGAGAGTGACTCAACCTTGAAACAAAAATGTTATTTTTTTTCTAGGCCACTTCCTCTGGTTTCTGCCAGTTAGCCATTAGATATTAGTGAACTACAATACACATATTCTGCATCTCTTTTAGAACATGATTATACATCACTTCCTTTTTCATCAGTATTTCTTATGTTAAATCAATCAATGTTAGGTTCTCAAGGTAATAATGCCTTATACTTTTGTGCCTCCTATAGTGCCTAGCCCTATTTGGCACATTTAACCAGTGGCATTCATAGAAAGCCAGGGATAAAAGTCTAACAACACATAAAGGGTCTGGACATAATGAAGGATAAAAGAATAATAGTTGCCATTCACATATGTGCCTTATGAACTTGCTTAAATCACCCAACAATCCTATGTCATGGTGATATAACATGGAAATTGTGGAGATGTGGAAATTGAATCATAAAGCTGAGTTCAAATCTAAGCAGCATGGCTCTAGAATCTCTCCTCTTAACCACTTTGTTGTATTATCTTCAGTGAGATGAGAAAGGACCATAATCCCATAAAGGGTATAGAGCAGAATTGGCAATGGAGCAGAAGTTAAGGCATGAAATTAAGATGCTTCAGAAAAATGGGCATGAACCACAGCCTCCATCAGCCTGAAACCAGAATAACCAGATGGTGCCCAGCTACCACTTCTGACTGCAGTGATTGAGATCACAGTACAGGCTTGTGAACTGAGCAGCAGAAAAATGTAGAAAAAAGTTGTAAATACTTTTGTAAATAAAGACCAGCTTTATTGGCCTGATAGAAATTATTTTCATTCTCTGGAAGCAGGAGTGGCATCCACTTCCATAATAGCTTGCCTCTGGAAACCCTATGAACCTGGAAAGAGGATGAAAGTTATACAGGGGGTGTCCAGGATTTTCGTTCATAGGGTTGATGGCACTTAACAACACCAACACCAACAACAGCATAGAAAGAGAGAGCAGTGGGCCTAGCGGATGGAAAGCCATGCTCCCAAGCAGAAGAACTGAGTTCAACAATACCCAAAATGGGTAGGAGGGAGTAGAGAAAAAGAGTGAATCAATAGTGAACTGCTTTGGAACAGAAGAGAGGAAGAACGCTCTGAAAGGAATATGTGATTAAGCATTATATGTATTAAAATAATCTGGAACAAGAAGTATATTGCAAAGCAGACTGGGGGAAAGGTAAGAGAGAGGGAGGGAGGAAAATATGCAACAATGAATAAATAATAATAATAAAGAAGAACATAAAATAATAAAAAATTTAAAAAAGACAATTGAGTGGAACAAAAACAAAAAAAATATATTAATTCTCAAGAATGGCCCTTAGACACCCTTCAAACCTGAGGCTGACCTCACTTCAAACAATATACAGGTCTACAAAGTGAAAACACCGTGAGGAATGTATTCCTCTGTACAATTAACTGTGGAAGACAAAAAGGCATCATTTATCCTACAATACAATTCAGAAGGCAGGAAGGGGGCAGGAAAGATGGGCAAGTGGGAATAGGGAATCCAGGGAGGAAGTGTGAAGAGTGTTGTTACATGGAGAGGACTGTAGCTATTTTGTCACAAAACTAAATGGCCATTGACTATTGAAAGGGAAACTAATTTGCTCTGTAGACTTTATCAGAAACCATGGGGAAGGGTGGAAATAATAAGGGCAATCACAAGCAAGAGACTAGAGAACTGGAGACAAATAGTAAAAAGAAGAATGAGGATCAGGAAACATTGACAAACATAAGGTAAAAACAGAAATTGTTCAATGTGGGTTGGAAAAATGAGGAAGCCAGAAAGACCTCAAGGAAAAGGGCTGTCATGTCAGGAGAGCAGAGAACCAACAAGGAAAGGAATACTTACAAGACAGTGAAGGTGCCGTTGTACGTGTTGGGCTCTGGCACAGGCACTCTGAGGAGCTTCTTCTCTTTTGGAAGGCCAGTACAGGACAACGTGGCATTTTGGCAGTCACAGAGCTCACATATGTCAGCATTACTTCTGTTCTTGGCACTCTGTGTTGGTGGCCCCCTTGGAGACATGTGCTCCTTCTCTGGGATGAAATTGAAAGAATGCTGAGTCACTGGTGAAGAAAGAGCTGCCTCTGTTGATGTTGGATGCTGAGTCATGATAACTTCTGGACTCACAAGTTGAACTGTCACTTGCTCTGGAGGAGATGCAGTCTCCTGTGGGGTTGTCTTAGTCTGTAACACTGTCGTATTGGTAAATTCTGCATACAAAGACTTAAGTGTGCTGTACTTTGGAGGAGATGCAGTCTCCTGTGGGGTTGTAGAAGTCTTAGTCTGTAACACTGTCATATTGGTAAATTCCGCATACGAAGAATTAAGTGTGCTGTGCTTTGGAGGAGATGCAGTTTCTTGTGGAGTTGTAGAAGTCTTAGTCTGTAACACGGTTGTATTAGTAAACTCTGCATATGAAGACTTAAGTGTGCTGTACTTTGGAGGAGATGCAGTTTCTTGTGGGGTTGTAGAAGTCTTAGTCTGTAACACTGTCGTATTGGTAAATTCTGCATATGAAGACTTAAGTCTGTTTTGCTGAGAAGTTCCTTGCTCGACTGGTAACGTTTCACTTTCCTCTGAAGGCTCAGGAGTCTGAGTTGCAACCTGTTGAATTGGTGGAGAAGGCTCCACTTCTGTAGGGAGTTCTGGAGATGGGGCAAAGGCTATCTGCTGGACTGAAGGTGGTTCTACACTCTCAAAGGGCTCTTGAGGTGGGAGCTTCTCCTGAACTGGAGAAGGCTCTATATTCATAGGAGGCTCTGGAGGTGCAATTGGGATCTCTGGCTGCACTGAAGATTGTTGAGTATTCACAGGATATTCCTGAATTGGAAGCTCCTGAGGAGCTGCAGGAGGTTCAACCTCCATAAGGGACTCTGGAGGCTGAGATGGCACCTCTGCTTGGGCTGGATTAAGTTCAATCTCTATTGGAAGTTCTGGAGGCTGAGATGGGATCCCTTGCTCAAGTGGAGAAGAGGCCTCCATAGGGGCCTCCACAGGCTGAATTGGGTTCTCCTGCTGGGGTAGAAAAGGTTCAATCCCCTCGGGGGGCTGTGGATTCTGCAATGGTAACTCCTGATAAGTTACACTTTCTATCTGTCCAAGGGGTTCAAATGACTGAATGGTGACCCCCTGCTGAGCTGGAGAAGGTTCAACTTCTGGGGGAAGTTGCAATAGAGCCCCTTGCTGAGTTTGGTCAGGTTCTCCCTGCACAAAGGGCTGAAGAGGCTGAACTGGGACCTCTTGCTGAGCTGCAGATGGTTCTGTCTCCTCAGGGGCCTTTGGAGTATCAGATGAGATTTCTTGGTAAGTTGGCGAAGGTTCTACCTGGGCAGGATTGTCAGGAGGCAGAATTAGGACTCTCTGCTCACCTGCAGAAAGTTCAACCTCCTTAGGGTGTTCTGGAGGTGGAGATGAGGTCACTAATTTGGTTGTAGAAGATCTAACTTCAGTAATGGGCTGTGCAGTTATAGTAAGTGCTAGTTCCATGAGTTTAACAGTGGAAATGTGCACTGCTGGGTGCAGAACTTCACTTTGCCCTGCAGGTGAACCTGAGGCCTCCTGCAAAGATGCAGGTGCTTCATTCTCCTCAGTGGATGCTAGAAGTTGTGATGAGTTCTCCAAATGGAGTAGAGAATAGCCTCCCTCTGTAAGCCAATCTGAAGATTGAGCTAGGGCCTCTTGCATGACTGTAGGTGGCTTCCCATCCTCCATGGACTCTGGAGGCTCTGAGGTGTACTCTTGTTGACCTGGTATAGGTTCAACTACATCAAGAGGCCCTTGAAGCTGAGTAGTGTTCTCCTGGGTTAGAGAAACTAGGGAGTCTTGCTCCATTGGAGAAGGTTTAACCTCTTTGGGAGGCTTGGGAGGCAGGGCTAGGTTTTCCTGTTGGAAATCCTCAGGCAGCTCTAGGGGGGAACCTGGAACCTCCTGCTGAGTGTGAGAAGATGAGAGGATTTCAGGGGGCTTTAAAGATTTTTCCAGACCTGGAACAGGTTCAATCTCTTCAGAGGGCATTGGGAATTGTGGTGGAGCCTCTTGCTGAACCACATAAGGTTCAACTTCCTGCTCTGGAAGGGGAGCGAGGACCTCCTGCTCAATTGCAGGTTTAACCTTCTGGGGAGACTTTGATGGCTGTACTGGGGCTTCCTGCAGAGTTTGACCTGACTGAACCTCCTGAACTGGCTCCTGAGTTAAGGCAAACTCCCCAGATGCTTGGCTAACTCTGACATTGGACAATACTGAACGAAGAATTGGATTCTCCGGTGGAGTTTGCGTTGTGGATGCCCTCAATGGATGGAGACATTGCTCCTGGTTTGGGCCAAGTTTACTCTCCTGAGAAGCCTCTTGTTGGAGTACAAATGGGTCCATTTCCTTAGGGCGTTCTGGAGGCTGACCTGAGGGCTCCTGATGCATCGGATACAGCCTGATGGGAAGAGAGTGAGCCGCCTCCTCTGGAGGTTCAATATTTTCCTCAGGAGGCACTGGAGCCTCGTCTGTGGCCTCTAGCAGGTCCAAAGGCGCCTGCAGCATTTCATTTATTTGATCCTGTGGATCATAATTCTCAGGTTTTCCAATTGTCCCTGAGAGTTGCCGCTGAACTAGATTCAGTGGTGGGGCAATAAAGTCACCTGGTGTGGAACTTTGACTAGCGAGAGATAAAGGGATTCCCAATGACCGGGAGCCCTCAGCCCGAATCATCTTGGGTATGCCCACCTTTCTTGTCCGTCGAACAGGCCCTGGAACCAATTGTGTTGCCGGAATTCCAGAGACTCTCTGAGACCGGGCTAACTTCTGGACTCGTGCCAGGAACCCGGGGTTGTCAAAGGCCCCCGGCTCAGGCAGGGGCATCAGCCTTTGAGGCGAATGAAGAGCATCCACACTTTGCGCAGGGTCAGGAGGATGATGAGGGTCGGGAGGTTGTTCAGGGTCACCAGGTTGAACAGGGTCAGGAGGGTCACCAGGTTGTTCAGGGTCACCAGGTTGAGCAGGGTCAGGCGGTAGATCAGCAGAGCGCAGAGACATGGGTGCGTTCGCTTCCGGGGCACCAGGGGTCATGAGGTCCGGGTCGAACGCCAAGTCTTGAGGCGGTGCTGCCGGGAGGAGTAGCCATGAAGGCTGTGGGGTGAGGATCAGGAGGACACAGAGGGGCAGCGGGGACATGGAAGCGAAGGAGCAAAGCGAAGGTACAGAGGGTGAACACAGGTAGAAAGGGATGAAGGTACAAAGGGCTAACAGGCTGTGGTGCAGATTGTAGGTTCGGCGGAAGGGAATGAGGTGTGAGGGCAGCCGCGTGAGGTCTGGGTGCGCACCTCGGCAGCGGGGGCCCCGCGCGCTGCACCCCCTTTTATGCAGGAGGTCGCCTTTGTTAGTCAGTACTTTTATGTCCCTCTGAGTGTGAATTTCCGGGAGGGCTGCGGGCTGGTTTTGGTCTGCTCTTGACTCACCAGGATGAACGTGACAGGGTGTCCATTCCCCGGCGAGGGGCCAGGACGTCACGCCCCCGCCCCACCCCACGGTCAGGGCCCTCCCCTCCCCCAGCCCTCAGAGCTTCGCCCGCTGGCAGCACAGGCAGGACCGCTGGGCCCTTTCTGGGAGCCAGAAGCTTCCTCCTCCTAAATTCCCCTCGGCCATGCTCCTTCCAACAAAAGTAATTGAATCATGAGCGCTATTTAGTGCGGCCAACGGGGCATAAACATATTAAACGTTCTTTTTCTCCGTAAGTGTTCTTCTAAACATGCATGCCCTTGTTCATATTAGTTTATTAACTCATTTTTCTGTTAGGCGAGGCACCACTAGTCGGGGTGACATAAGGCTTTATGCAGAAGGGGCTCTGGGAGCTGGCAGTTTGGATTGAGAGAGGGTTTGAAGGCAGCAGTTCACACTGGCGGCAGAACCCTGCCCCATCCCACCCTGACTCAACAGCCATTAATCTAGAAAAGCAATTGCCTCTCGCTTCTCAGAGATCCATCTCGGTGTACATGGAGTAGTCACATGTTAAAGCCAGCATTTAAAAGAATTGTTTACTGAAATGCCCTCACAGCCCACAGCTGTTAATGACTACAGCCCGTTTGTTTTCTTTATGCTTTTATTTTCTAGCACAACCTATAGCATGCAAATTTTATGAGAGCAGGGCTTCACCAGGGCCCTAGCATATCTGTTCAGTTCCCTCGGATCACCATGAGGCCAAATCGGTTCCATGGCAGTGTGGACCACGTTTGTGGCTAATGGTTTTAAGCATGGAGTTGATCCGGAGGATGCTTTCACCATGTGACTGGCCTTTTGTTTAATCAGCCTGTTGAAACCATTAGCCCAGTGTTGACTTTTATATTCAACAGGAAGCTAGACTTCTTAAGGTCCAATCTTGGATAATCTGTACTTTCCCTTGACTTTTATTTCCATTCATAAACATCATATTACCTAAGTTGAGTGGAACGAAAGAGCATTAAGCTGAGTGAACTAACTGAGCCCACTGTTAGGTTAGGTTAGGTTAGTGGACTTAAAGAAGAAATCAGAGAGAACGAGAGAAAGCTTAATGCAGCTTTATAAAAGGGGGGAAAGGGAGCTCCCAGGTGAGTTCCTCATCCTGGAGAGGCAGAATGGAAAGTCACACTGTGAACTTACTGGGAAGGATTTTTATAAACACAGTCTTTATGGAGGGACATTCTACTCTGATTTACGAGCCACCTGCTAGCTTAGCCAGATAGGCAAGGCCATTTTCTTATCTTCAGCAGCAAGGCCATCAGCATTTGAGTTCTGAATTCTTCATTCTTCTCTTTGGCCCTCTTTGCCCAGACTAACATCTTAGACTCTTTTTAGTGATAAAACAGGGCAACTTATCTTTCTTTTGGCTACTTCCTGCTGAACAGGGGTGACGATCTGGAGGTTCAGAGCCTGGAGTGAGTCAGTCTGGGATTAGTGACCAGGGGAGAATTAAGGTGGTCATCTTCTTGATCCTGTGAAGTAAAACCTTGAAGAGACATGGAGTGATTAATAACAGTATGCTTATGATTACTATTGGTCTTAGAGAAGGGAAATTGAAGTTAGAGATGAGTTTTTGAGTTAATTTGAGAGAAGGCTTGTGGTTGAATTCTGTATAGAGTCTTATTACATCAAAAGTGTTGTCCTGGATTAGCTACAGTGTGCTTGTTTATGCTGGCATTGTGTATACAGTTTTCCTGTTTCACTGCAGAGGGTGTTAGATGCAAGTGGGCTTAGTGTTCTTATCGGGCTTTGGTTTTCAGAAGGGAATGTGTTCTTTTTTTAAAAAATATTTTAATTTATT